TGGAAATTACTGTTATAACAAATTTTTAAATTTTCATAAATTATTTTATAACTACAAACTAATTCAGTCGATATTAGATAATTTTTTTTCTAGAATTCTATTCTGTAATATTTGTAAAAATAAAAATTGTATTGAAAAATTGTTGACTTAAGGGCGCTAAATGTTAATAATATTTTGTACTTGTACTTGTACAAAGATATAAGCTTTTCAAAGATTGGTCTAAAAAATTCATTTGTTTCTTATTTGCCCAAATAGTAGTAAATCATTTACTCTTTTTAGGTAGAGAATATACCTCAATCTACCTTCTCCTATTTTTTGCCATCATTATTTATCATTAATACCTCCGGAATTATTAAGTCATTCGTTTTCATTCAAGAGTAGCATGGTATGTTATGTGCAGATACTGCTGCGTACATAAATCGTTTCCAAAAACCAAACTTTGTTTTATCTTGTTCTTTCTTAATGTTTAAATGAAATAATTTGTATTGCAAATCAAACTTATTTAAGTTTGATTAAGCCTAATCTGTTTAAGCCTTTCCTAATGCCTCTATTAATCTTTTATCATCATTAACTTTAAATATTTCTCTATTTATTTCTAGTCTAAGTCTTATTTTTTACTCGTTATTCACTTGAAATAATGTATACGTATAGTGGATGCAGATATGAAAGTGTAACAGAACTCTCATCTTTGCATCCACGATACATGTTTGTTAGATTTTCTTTATTTGACGACCATGCACAGATCACATATTTGTAGCATCAGTAATTTCATCATAGATATATTATTTTAACCACCTGAATTATGCTTTTCCTACATCTACATTATGCGCTGTGGTTTGCAACGCTGCTGCTTGTCTCTTTTTTTTTATTTCATTTCCTATGTTACCTTACCTCATCTTCTACATTTGTTACTTTTTAAATAAAGATGTTTAAAATATGTATTTTTTTATGTATGTCAAATTCTGGTTGTCTTCCTAAATATTTAATTGCATTAAATCAACAACGCCGGCCTTAGCTTTTTTGACAGGTCGGGCAAAACTTGTGCAAGCGTCCCTAGGTACCATTGATATTAGCAATGGAAGGTAGGTAGCTGAACATTGACGAACGAGTACAAGCAAAGCCAACACGCAGAAATTGTAAATATGTGCTAAAGAGATTTTTAATTAATTTTTAATCTAAGTGTAAAATTGAATTTTTTAAAGATATGTTTTATTGATAACAATTATGTGCAATGCAACACAACTAGATTAATTTTATAACAGACGTTTTTATTATACAGATGAATTCTTCTAATTAATTCTGCAAAACAATGATTAAAATTATTAATTTAACTCCTCTAGCTTTTTTGTCAGCAAAATCTTCTTGAAAATCTAAATTTTCTGCTATTTCATGCTTGATCGGCAACTTGGCCTAAGAGTGAAGTGGATCTTGCAACATAGTGTTTCTTAAATATGTTTTATTTAGCTTCAGTTTAGAAAAACTCAGTTACAGGTATTGTTAGAAGAATGCACAGAACTATCCGTGTATTTTGATATAACTCTTGTAAAATTCAGTACAATGAAGGGTTTCATTTTTTCTACTTTTTCAACTTCCACTTTACCTATTTTATCTTTAACACTTATTAGTTCATCACATAGCAAAGCACCATCAAAATCAGACTTTGAAGGAACGATTAATTTTTCTTGCAACTCTTTACACAATTTCAAAAGTTCATACTTGATATGCAAATTATCCAAATTAAATAAAAAACCCATATATTTACACATTTAATTGTTCAAATTCTTTAATTGATGAGATTGTGCCATGCAATTAAAGAAATTATGAAACTATAATTTTTAAATTGTTCCGTTAATGAAGTTACTTCGTGTGCAATATATGGAGTTTTGGTATCAGCTTCATATAGAGTAATTGACGCATCAGGCACGCTACTTATTTGGTGTCAGACTGCATGAGACTTGGCTTCCCAACAAGTATCATATCACGAGTAACTAAATCATAAATTATTTAACCAATAAACAGTACGTGTGGCAAAGTGTACCAAAAATCCTAAATGAGTTTAGGTGAGACACAAAATATGTGGCTCCGCAAAGAAAACAAGCGCACAAAATGAAATTTAGCTACAAAAACGTTTGAAAAAATTATGATAAAATTTATAATTTTTCTGATTAAAGTATTTTTGACAAATTACTAGTAGGAAAAATAAATTAATTTCCAGGAAAAACTAATTTATGTTGAAAATATATATAATTTTAACTAATTCTATTTTCAACTTGATTTTATTATAAAAAAAATTATTTAGGGTTTATTTTGCAGACAGCATTTGGCATCCCCAGTTACCCGGCGCTTGATTTCCCAAAGCCTGCACAGATATCTAAACAAAAATGAACATGAATTAAAATTTTACAAAGTCCTTTTTACTTCATAATCTATTGTTCTACAACATATAAGATATAATTTTAATGTTTGTTCATTAATTGTTCTCAAATGTATATCGCAAACAACGTTTAGAAAATTAAAAAATGAGAATTATCAATCATTTGAAATAATATTGATACAGTATCCTGTTTTCTCTTACGTCATAAAAAATGTAAAATCTGACAAAGTATCTCAAAGTTTTTCCATAAAATGAAGAAACGAATGTCAGAAGTTCATCATCCAATGTTCCATCAAACACGAGTTCACAAATATTGATAAGTTCATTTTTAAATGTATTGTAAACACAGACTGACTTGGAGATTGATTATCGACATTTTTCCCATTTTCATCGACAGCAAATTTTTCGTTTTGATCGTCAACGGAACTTCCTGGCTGGAGTTTGTTTGCATTAAGAATTAGAAATTTGTCAGTGAAAAATAAAAATGATGTTAAGCCCTTAACTACTAAAAAAGGAAGATAAAGGCGTGCATGATTTAAATGACTATGTTTGTGTTTGCTGAAAGAAACAATCATCCATATAAATATATAAAATTGGTGCATATATAGTACATTACATATTGTCGTTAAAATTAAGGATTCGGGTAATACATTTGATACTTCATTAAAAATTGTTGATTATGTTGATTATAATATAAACAAAACATTTTTTATACAAGGTTTAACAAATAGACATTTCAAAAGTATTGGTAGTAATGGCTTTTATTTTGTGTAAAAACAGAGTCAGACCACAGCTAGAGTACGCAGCGAGTATGTGATCGCCACGGATAATTCGAGGTATGGAGGCAGTTGAAAAAATGCAGAAAAGAATAACCAAAATGATCAAAGATTGCATGTACGAAGACCGCTTAAGATTTCTGAAGCTTTCAAAACCGAGGTGCAGACACGAAAGAAATGATCCAATCACACTCTTCCACTTGATTTTCACCAAAGACAAGCGAGGCTTGCCTGAAATATTGAAGGTCAACAAACAAACCATAGGGCGTGAATTCAAATTCGAAGTAACAACACTTCCCTTCCGTACTTCTTTAGTTGTCCGCTCCCTTTTATCCGAAATAGTTTGAGTGAAGTCAATTCCTATTGCTCGAATGAGTTTAAAAACAAATTAGATATTTTTCTTATGAATGTCGATTTTAAGATTGTCTGGAGAGCTGATAATATTTGATTTGTGATGCCTGGAACAATAATATGCTTGATGGCTTATGTAACTTCATTTTGAATTATGTAAACTTTAACCAAAGTACGCGTGTTTTATAGATTGCAACAAAAAAATTGTGAATAAAGTTATATGCATTACCCATACTTTTTAATATTTTATTTTTATTTATGTATTTCTTTTATTTTTGTAGTATTTATTTCTTTTTTTTATGGTCTAGTACACGAATGTGTGTGTGTTTATAAGCATGTATATATGAACATATTTATATGAGTATGGGTGGGGCTGGTTTCCTTGATGGGCACTGGGACATACGTCTTCACCTATGTTTTTTACTGATAATAATAATAACACTTGGAAAATACCAGCAATAAAGCTGTGGAAAAATACAATAATAATATCAATAATAATAATAACTATAAAATTATTCATCAATTTTATCCGAGGAGGTAAAAAGTTCATCCTATATTTTCAGGCCAATGTAAGTTATACTAGAATGAGAAAATTTTAATCAGTCTGTACTGAAGAGTTTGTATGTAAGATGCCGAGCCTACCGCTCAAAATTAAACCGCTGTAAAATAAATTTGAATGAAACGTTTTTATACATCCTGTAAGGTTTTACGGTTGAATTTATATTTTATCCTACTCAAGAATCTTAGAAGTCTATAAAATTTCTCTGCTACTTTTTAAATTTAAATTGAAAAATTGTTCCAAAAATGTCAAAAAATCTGAGCAAATTATTCATTGATGTTTGTCTGCAAGTAAGAGATTAAGCGTTTAATATGAGAAGACATGCAGACCAGCTACGTTCATGGAAATGTGTTTCATGTTTGAGGTGAAGTGATGAGTCAAAGCTGTCCATGCTAACATCAATCGAAAGTGGAAAAATATTTAAAATTTTTTTAAACTAACTCGAAAAAACTTATCCAGCAAAAATACACTTAATTTTTTTATTTGTCATGTTCGTTGTCATTTCCATCATCTTTGCTTTTGTCATCACCGAAAATGACATCTAATCATTTTTGCTCCAGATTCCCGAGGTGCGTGCAACATAATTACTAAACTAAACATCACCAGAACGCCGGTCCACTGTTTGTTTTCCTAATCATCGTCATCGTTATAACATCATGACAACAGCAGGATGCAGCTTGTTATTACTATTTGTTGTTTCCTCGTCATCATCTTCTTCCTCTTCCTTTTTATCTTCACAGCATATAAGCATGCAAATATATCATGCCTCAGAATTGTTCTCATCGCTTCAAATGCCAATCTCATTCGTTGCACATCTCATGTTCGCTATGAACTCGGAGCCAATTATTCAAATATTAATCATAGAAAACATTTTGTAGGAAACACAAAGTTGTTTTATTATTTTATTAGTATCTTTCAAAATATAAAATACAGAGACTGACTACATTTTGTGACTGTTTGAAGTTCCTGTGAAATTATTATAAAAAAATTTAGTTTTAAAATAAACTCATTCAATCTTTGAAGAAATTTTTTTTAAAACTACTCTTCAACAGCAACAACGACAACGAAAACGACGACAACAAAAAACAATAACTTTAATAACAACAATAATAATAATAATGATTCGGGCGTCGCGATGGTATAACGGTTAATTGCCTGGCACTACTGTTGCTGTGACCGGATTCAATCGCAGAGTTCGCCGCCTGTCACGTGCCACGTGTCTGATGAATTGTTTCACAAGTGGGTTTACATGCCTTTGAAAAAATATTGAAGAGAGGATTGTAAAAAATTAATGAATAAATAAATAAATTAATTAATAATAATTTTACTACTACAACTAATATTAATATTAATAATAATTATTATTATTATTATTATTATAACAATAATAATAATGGTAATAATAACAAAAGACAATAATAGTGATATTACGATATTTCATTTGAAAAAAAAGGAGTGATAATAATATTTTTAAATTTTCCAAGCGCCAACACCGTCAGCGCGGATATCATTGCAGACGAGTAGCAGGAACGGTTGAACCAGCATCGAAAAAGTATCAGCTTGAATTGTTGAGAGACTGATATGGAGATGGTATCCAAAGAGCACATGCACTTTTGCTTCTTCCTCCTCATCCACTCCTTCATTCCATCCATCTCGGCTGTCCTGCAAAGTGGTTCGTACACGTTCAAATAAATTAATTTGCTCTCATTGATTTTCATGTCATTTCGTTTCATTTCGTTTCAATATTATCTTATTTTCATTCATTGATATCTTGCTTGCGTTTCTATTTTTGCAAACAAAATTAATGTTTGTCTTATTGAAATGTAAACTTACATTAAATTATTGTTTTTCAAAATGCTGTCATGCAAAATGTTTTCAATCCGATGTATTTTTTATTCTTCCAACTCATTATCTTTTTGTGAAAAAAAAAACATGCTGAAAGATGCAGAAATCCGTTACAACTGGTAAAATGATAATACAATGAAACAAAGAAATTAAACAAATTGTTACAAAGTAATGGAAAAAATTACATAAATATATAAATATAATCAAATATTGAGACGTTGAGTAACCAGACTTCTTTGTTAGAAAATGTAATTCCGTTGATACGTTCTAATTGTAAGTTTTGATGTTATGTTTGTTTATGTAAAACAGCTCTCAGTGACTGCTATTATGTTACATGTTGTGTTCAAGGTTCACATCATGGACAAGTTTGAACAAAACAATAATAGAAACAAAATATACAACAGAATGCAACTGTGAAGTTTTCGTTGGTTAACTCTGTCTTGGAACAAACGTCAACGTACCAACAAAGAACGTTCTTTCATGCACAACAGACACTGGTCAAACATATACAAACATGGTACTGAACGATATGTACTGTCAGATTCGACCAGTGTGTGTCCACAAATGTCTGTTCGTGTGATTGCACTTGGATATTCTTCTTTATTGATTCATCATCACGCGCACACACTTCAGTGTCCTTCCACGCGAGTCTCCAACATTTGAGACTATTTACAATGAAATTGCTTTGTGTTGCTAGATGATGAAAATAATGCAAACTCAGTGGCATCGGTACACTCTCTCCTATCATATGACATCGGTGGTGGTGTCTTTAAAAAACTTCTGTGGGAAGGTGCTTGAGTTCTTAGAAAAAAGTTTATGAACTTTTTTATAACAAGTATTATTTTTTCTAAAATTTTCAAAATGTTTTCTTGTTGCTTCAGTTTCAAGCAAAAAATTATGTTTTGATTTGTAAAATTTCACCGAATCCTAACAAAAATATTCAATGCAACCCTAAAGCCTAGCTGCACTGCACAGTTTTAAAAATCCTGACATATGTAAAGTAATAACATAAGATAAATGGAATATGAATGGAGGCGCGGAAAAATTGTACGCGACGTTTGGAAATAATTTTGAGAAAAATATTCTTCTTGAATTTTTATAAAAAAAACTGGTGTATTATCATGTGCATATTTTATTTATTATTTTCATGGTTGACCACTTATTACTGTTGCTGCGGCTACTATGTTCAATTTGAAATGATTCTGTAGAAGATGAGTCAAATGCTTAACATTTTGAAATTTTTATACAAAATTGCATTGTTATAAAAAAGTATTTTTCTTACATTTTCAAAATGGTGTTTGACTGACATTTGAGTTTTTAACGCATGTGGGGATGAAGGTTTTTATAATTATTTTATTTTTACTATTTGGAGATTGGATTGTTCGATTCACTATGATCTTTTGGCACTTTAACTTATCACCATCTTCTCGATCGGTGCCACATTCTCTTCTCCAGGCAGCTCAACGAGATATTTCCTCAACTTTTGTCGTATCGTTTTTAAAAATTGCTTGTTTTGTGTCCTACGTCCGTGATATCATAATTTTTGTATTTGCTCAGTTTTTCAATTTTTTCAGTCATTGGTGATTGCGACCTCAATTAAAAGGCACCTCCTTCTAATTCTTTTGTAGAATGTAGTATCCGATCGTTTGGCTTTGATATTCACTTTTTTGTCCATGTGGTTTTGGTGAGTTTTGTTGAAGAACTGACCGTGAAGCAGTTTGGATGAGTAAGTTTTGATTTTTTTTTGTCATTGATTTTTCATCATATTGTGCTTGAATATACTCAGTTAAAGGTTTTTTCTTGTTTCATAGATTTTCTTGCTTTCATGTAGCAGAGAATACTTTTTCTTCTCTTTTTCGTGGGTCACAACTAGTTTTCTGTAACTATCAGATTTCTGCATGATGTTTTCCGAGAGGCCAGTGATATCACATTTATGCGCACTTTCTAGCTCAACGAGCCCTCGGTCTCTACAATGTGTATGTATGTAAACAGATCAACATTCGGTTTTGGGTCAAGAAGACCCTGCTTTGTAAGAAATATTTGGTTTCGTATCAACATCTTGAATCTCCCTGTCCCTTCAGCCTTCAGTCTAACATTCCAAATCTGTATAACTACACTGAACTGATTTTTTAATTATTTTTATTATTATATATTTGAAATGATATAAATAATGCAATTTTAGTTAATACTCATGACAAATAAATGGATGTAGTGATGAATAATATTGTTGGGCTGCGACACACGAGTTCAAACTATAAAGACATGCCAGTTTGTGTAAGTAAAAGAAGCGTAAACTTTGAGTTGACCATCCAACCATATTCAATCCATCAAATTCGTTTCAGCAAACAAACTTGCTATGCACGGAGTTGGCAACGTTTCATTCTACGGATCACATGTCTTAGTGATGTTGTGAATGTGTGGATGTTGCAGAAGTGTTGATGTTGCAAAAGTGTTGATGTTGAAAAATGTTGATGTTTGTTTTATAACAAAAACATTGTTCAGCAATATTCGTATGTGGAAATCACGTTGTCGAGCGCTAAAGCGTATAAATGTTTGAAGTATTTTTTAGCGCTTTGATGTGCATAAAACATGCGTTTTCATCAAGTTCAACTCTATTTCAAAGTTTCATTTTGGATATACCACTTTTAAAACCGTTCATAGAATCAAACATCAGTTTTAAAATTTTATTTGAATTTTAATTTGAAGCGTTTTCAGTCACCAGATAGCTTCGGTCGAGTGAAATTTATATTATTTCCTTCATGGCACTCGTCTGTTTATATAAAAAAGTTAAGCGTTAAAAATTGTAGCTGAATAAAATTTAAATGTGTTAAATTTTTGAAGTGCTATATAAATTTTTTAAAAAACTAAAAGCACGCTAAAGACCGATAAAAAAAATTAGAGATATTTTGTTTTTTTAAACATTATTTTCCGGAAATGAAAGCATCGAGGTTTGTAAATCAGAAATAAAATTTTGAAGACGCAGAATTCACAATGTTTTGCTAAAATAAAAATTTTAGCAAAAATCATTTAAAATTAAATTGTTATGTAAAATTAAATTGATATTTAAAGTAACATTGGGGCTGATTTTAAACGTCTGTTGAAACGGGAAATATCTCATGAATGGAAACTGCCGCGAAAAGAAACCTACTTACTAATTTTCAAACATTCGAAACAGTTTCTTGAAAAATTATTAGACGACCATGCGGTTGCTTTTGAAATCGGCAGCCCGTCATCTGTAGGCCACTGATCTGATTAATATCACTTATTTCCTAATGCTTTCCATTGCTTCGCTGCATTGTTGTCGCTTCTCTCCGTTTCCCTATTTCGAACCACTCTATTTCCTACGTTTTATTATTTGTATTTTTATTATTATTACAATGTTTCGATTTACTGTTATTATAATTGACATTATTATTTCAATCGGCGTATGTTGGTGATGTTATACTTATTATTTTTCAATTTAATGTTTAATTTATAAATCTTCAGCTACTTTATTCTCCATTCCATGTCAACTTTGGAATGGGTCGTACCATCTTCCAACTCCACCAAATGTTTAAATGCATGCAGTTTTAAAGAATCGTTACCCAATCCTGTTAATCATGTTTAACATTGTCTTATCGATTTCACGTCTCCAAACACGCCAAACAACTTTCTTCTCATCTTCAACGTTATTTTTACTTCCAATTCTGCGTATCCTGTCTTGCGTTAGATTACACGGCTCTCTTTTATACACTGCTCTAACTGATAAGTTTTTAGCAAAGATAAGATTAAAATTGTGTCATGATAACAAATTTAACTTTTTGATCATACTGTAATGATTATTCCAAAATTTTTAAAGCTTTTGTTTTGATTGTCCATTCGTTTGTTAGGTGATTAACTTAATCACCTATTGACAATTATTATAATTTGTTGGTGTTTATCGGAATCCAGTACTTGGAGAAAACATTCAGTAGTTTATCATTATCCAGTCTTTATCAACATCAAGTAGTTTTAAAATTTTATGTAAAGTGACATAGTCGCGTTCAATCAACACACGCTGACAACTTCATCTAACTTTTTAACACATCAAAATCAAATTAGTAACGTGTTCACTTTTCCTGGTAAGTTGCTTTATTTTATTTAACTTTAATTACTATAACTATTAACATTTCCACGTTTTCAGCATATTTTAAAATATACAAAAATCTTTGTCCTATTTTTAATTCTTTTTTCAACATCTTCCATTTTTTTCAACGCTTTCTCTTTGAAACTTCCTCCCACTGCACCAGCAACAAACATGCTCTTGCTACTTTACATTCCTAAACTCTTTTTTTTTGTTATGTACGTTTGCCTTTTGCTTGCTACAATTTTTATTTATAGTTTACAGATTTACAAGCAATTCACTGAATCATTTTACACTTTTTAAAACGGTTTTATGCCAAGAGACAAAACTAAGCATAAACTTTGTCCCACAGCTTTAGAACAAATTTTTTCAAGTTTTGGACAAATTTTTTCAGAAGGTTTTTATACAACAACCTCAACAACATCAACAATCTCAAAAACATTCAACAGCCCTAACAACATATAACAACCTTAACAACACACAACAACCTCAACAACATACAAACACATCGCATACAAAAACATTCAACAAATATTCTACAGCTAGCACCAACAATGACAAAGAATTTCATGCAACACTCAACGACAGGTTGGTCACAAATGTTTCATGCAATATCTAGCAACCAACATGTTGTATCAACGATAGAACGTATAACACGCAACATGCAACGCCAACGAACTGCCTTTAAATCACCAAACATGCAGTCTGCAAGATGTTCATCGTATAATGTAGACAGCAGAGAACCTAATGTCATCGACTGATATGATTGTAGATTATGTAGAAGGTATGATTGATTGTACAGATCGCTCAAGCACGTCCCAGCACATCATCCTGTCAGTCCTTCCTTCCTTCCTTCCTTCCTATGTCTTCTCTCAAGTCTTACGGCATTTTTTATGTGAATAAATTGACGACTCATTTTTTGCGCGCTTACATCTAATGTTGACGTTTAAAATATGGACTACGCCTGACTGCTCTCCAATAAGTTCATAAAAATACTCGTGCTCCATGCTTTATGTCTATAAATGTTTACAGCTCAAAAGTAATTTGTTTATAAATATTTTCTATGTTCGAGTGAATACGTTTCATCAAAGCTGCATGTTTTTATGGATGGACGTCTATCGTCAGTGTTAGCTGCATCATGTTTTATAATGTGTTTGCATTTTTCATATAAAATAAAATATTAATATTAAATGTTGGGCTGTGTTTTTTGCTCTCAAACATAAAATCTGACGCGTGGCACGTTCGAATGTGCAAACAGGAGCCATGCAAATGTAGTGGAAACCAGGTTTTCATGGATGTTCTTCGGCCATCGGAGAATATTTGAAGTTGCTATCTTTAGCTGAAGAGTGATTGATTTCAAAGATTTTTCATTGAATTAACATTTAAAATAAAAATAGAAAGATTAAATAAAAATTTGGTTTAAAGGTGGAATATTGTAATGTTATTTCGTTATCAAAATCCAAGTAAATTATATGTGAGTGAAATGATATAGGTGCAATAAATAGGTGATATAAATGGCACATCAACATGAAATTTGTTGATGACGTGACTTTTTGTCTAGTTTCATAAAGGAGCTGCAAAAAGTTACAGAAGAAACAAACGATGCAAGTAAAAGTTTTGTCTTACATTTATACATATAAAAAAGTAAGATGATGACATTTAAAAAAAGACAAGAAGTCCTGCAGACCACGAAAGACGACAAGTTTTCAGAACCAGTGCAACATTTCGCGTATGTGGTTGGTAGGTTATTACAACGAAGATAACCAGGATGGAGATATTCAGATGCGAATAGCCCAAGCAAACGGCGTGGAAGATGATGTCAATATTAAATTCAAAACAGATGAAAGTAGAAAAAAAACAACAGCTTATTGTTCACGTTCAGCCGTAATACCACCGAGATCACATGGTTCCAAAACTTAAGCAATAAGTAAACGTCAAGAAAAGTTTTTAGCTGCAAAAATGCATCAGATTCGAAAAATATTAGAAATTAGTTGGTGTTAAAGGAAGAATGAAGACATGTTCTATGATGACAATGATTTTTACGATGATAAACAAGAAAAAAGTGGAGGATCGATGGCGGGCGCGGGAGAGGGTGCGGGATGCCAGCCCTCACCAGACTATGAAAGAAGAAAATTTTGAAGAACCTATATATATATTATATTGATAGTAATTAAGTTCGGAAGGTCAACTACGAATATAGTAATTAAGTAAACAAAATTTAACAAAAAGTCATCAACTTTATAATTTTAAGGTCATCCTGCCCGAAAAATTCAGCATCCGTCAGTGGGGAAGGTTGAGATGGTGAAGACACGTTGAAAGGATGGGTGTAAACAAATTATCAAAACTTGAATACAAAAGAGAAGTCGATGAAAGACAAAAATAAAAGGTGGATAAATATTAATAATTGAGTAAAATTGAATATCACTGAGAGAGATGCTCTAGAAAAAATTTTAAACCAAGAAGAACAAAGAATTTATTAAAAAGTTGCGACATGTCTTTTAATTAGCGTTGTCAAAATACAAATAAACAAGAGTCAATGATTGTAAGTTGAAAACAGTGACAACAGGTACCGC